CAGCCCCGGTTCCTAGGGGGCTGCCAGGCTGTCATGGCCAGGCTGGGAAGCCTGGTGCGGTGGCAGCACACGGGGCAGCTGGCGGTGTGCTGGGCTGCGGAGGGGCGGCTTGGAGTGGAGGAGAGCAGCGTGGCCCCCACCGCACCATGGCAGTGCAGTGGAGGGGAGCGGTGGTGGGGCAGGGGACATGTCCCTTGCCATAGGGGTCTGTTGTGGCAGCTTGCGAGGGCTCGGGCAGCGGTGGGGAGGAAAGGCTGGCCCTCCCTGGCTGCATGGCGTCGGCTTTCCTGGGACAGGATGTTAGGGTGGCACTCATCTGGCCTGGCTGCATGCTGCCCGTGGGGAGGCTCTCACTGATGCTCTACCCCGAGCATCCCTGCTTTACCAACTGGGGCCGTGCTGTGGGGCATGGCCGTACCGTGCAGCACTTGCCACCAGTGGGGTAGGGGATACACGTCTATGTGCCAGAGGGAGGAGGGTGCTTGCACATGGACACACGTGTCTGTGTGCCACAGCACCCCCAGGAGCGCCCAGCTGGGACACAGGCTGGGGGGGTCCAGCCCCAAGCTGAGGTGCCCTGCAGGGCATGGGGATGTGCAGGTGCTGTGGCAGCGAGGCCAGCCCACGGGGCAGCTCCAGCAGCTCCAGGGACAGGAGGTGGCTGTCCTGCCGGGCAGGATGTGTCCGAGGCATGGGGAGGGGATGGTGCCGTGCACTGCGCAGGCGGGACGGTCTGTGTGCAAGGAGGGTCTGTTTGCAGTGCCGGAGCAGCGTGCAGTGAACATGGGTGCAGAGTGGAGACGTGGTGGGGAAGTCTGGGGGAACCAGACCTGTTTCCATGCCCCATGGGCACCTGGCCACTGCCATGGGGCCAGGCAGGGCATGGGGTGCTTCTCATGGGATCCTGAGATGGGCAAATGCCCAGTCCTGGTCCCATCCCCGGACGCGAGGCCTGGCACAGGGTGCCAGGCTCTCCAGGCCGGCATGGCCCACCCAGGCGCCGCCCCAGCAGGTCCCTGCCCCATGGCAGCGCGGGGAGATGCTGGGGACATGGTCCCTCCCCGCTGCCCCCCGCGTCTCTGCAGGCCGGGCCGATAACCGGGTGTTGATGTCTCTCTCTCTCTTGCTGCCCCTACGGAAGCGAAGTTTTCCGCTCCTGCAGGAAACAAAGCTACGGTAG